TTTAGAAAAAGCTGTTTTTATTAGCAGAAATAATCAACATAGCAGAATATTCCAGGTATTGCATTTATCATTTGAGCCATAATTCAGATTTTGCTCTACCTAGCCTAACCTAACTTAACCTAACCTTACCAAACGCGACTTAACCTAACCCAACCTAACGCGACCTAACTTAACCTGATGTAATATAACTATATCAAACATAATATAACCAAATTTAACCTGACCTAACAATAGAGACCTAACATTAGAAACCTAACCTAACCAAACCTAACCTAACCAAACCTAACCTAACCTAACCTAACCAAACCTAACCTAACCAAACCTAACCTAACCCGTGGTGAGTCTCGATTGACTCACACACTGCCTCACTCATCATTGACTCACACTTTAAAATAATCACGTAATGGATCTCGGGGAGGCAGAGAGTGTGTGTTAAGTGTGTGTGTCAAGTGTGTGTCAAGTGTGTGTCAAGTGTGTGTGTGTGTCAAGTGTGTGTGTGTGTCAAGTGTGTGTGTCAAGTGGGTGTTTAGTATGTTCAGGGTGAATTAAGCGTGTACAGAGTGTGTTATAGGAGGTATACTAAGCGTGCATGGGGACAGTTGGACACACGCCACACACTGCAACTTAAGGGAGAAAATTGAACATAAAGACCGTGTGATAATCCGCAGCTTGATAAGAATAGCAGGCATTGTGTATCAGGGACTGGCTTAGTGAGTTGAACGGTTCGGGGTGTTGTGTGGCGTGGGCGTGGGCGTGGGCGTGAGAGTCCCCTTTTAATACACTCCTTTGTCTGTTTGTTTTATGTCTGTGCCAGCTAGATCATCTTCACTCACTCACTCACTCACTCACTCACTCACTCACTCACTCACCTATTCACTCTTTCTCTCCCACACTCACTCACTCACTCACTCACTCACCTATTCACTCTTTCTCTCCCACACTCACTCACTCACTCACTCACTCACTCACTCACCTATTCACTCTTTCTCTCCCACACTCACTCACTCACTCACTCACTCACTCACTCACTCACTCACTCCACAACATAGGTGTCTGGTTTAGTCTCTTTACATCTTACTGTTCAGGTAAATCTTCAAATATTACTCCACCCCCATGCTCAAGTACTACTCCACCCTCATGCTCAAGTGCTCCTCCACCCTCACGCTCAAGTGCTCCTCCACCTTCACGCTCAAGTGGTACTCCACCCTCACGCTCAGCCATTACCCAGGTCATTACTGAGGCCTCACACCCCAGAGGAGACACCATGTAGGTAACAGCAGTAATTTTTTTTTTTTTTTACAGGAACAGCCTGGGCACCAGGTCATCCCGACCCACAACAGGGCCTGGGGGGGGGATAAGAGTAAAAAGAAATTAAAAATAGAAGAGAAAAAGATTGAATTAATCTACACCACGAAGATGCCGGAAGACCATCTTTTTAAAGTGAGACAGATTGTATGAGTATGGAAACACAGAAGAAGGCAGAGCATTCCACAGTTTGGCTGTGTGAGGAAAGAAGGAGGTACTATAACGGGTTATTCTAGTGTGACCGACATCCACAGAGAAACGGTGGGCACCGCGGGCAAGACGAGTGTTACGAGCCCACGGCCTTGCCGGCGGTACACAGGATGCCACATCCACCGAACAGTGCCCGTTAAAGTACCTGTAAAAGAGAGAGAGTGAAGCAACATTGCGGCGGAGAGAAAGGGAAGAGAGATTATCAACTAAAGGAGGAGAGTTAATAAGACGAAATGCCTTTGATTCCACCCTATCTAACAGTTGGACAGAAGAGGAGCCACCCCAGATATGAGAGCAGTACTCCAAGTTAGGACGAATGAATCCCTTATATACTTGGAGCAACTACTCAGGGGTGAAGTAGCTACGGCATCTGTACAGCATTCCCAACTTTCGGGACTGGAGGGCCGTGAAGAAGTAACACACACACACACACACACACACTGAAATCACGCTGCAGCAGATCAATTTTACGGTCTCCATCTTCAAAGAGGTAAAAAAAAAAAAAAAAAAAAAAAAAAAAAATATATATATATATATATATATATATATATATATATATATATATATATATATATATATATATATATATATATATATATATATATATTAATTAATTATCGTGTTACCGCTCTCAGGTGCGTGTGTGTGCTCAAGTGATAGGCGTCACTCACTAGTGTGTTTACCTGTACCTGTAGTGTGTTTACTGTACCTGTTGTGTGTTTACTGTACCTGTAGTGTGTTTACTGTACCTGTTGTGTGTTTACTGTACCTGTAGTGTGTTTACTGTACCTGTAGTGTGTTTACCTGAAATGTGTTTACTGTACCTCCACCCGTTGTAGCTTAATTAATCTCCCCCCTACAGGCACCTACAGTACTTGTATTGATAAATAAATAATAAAAGTTTCAGTTTTCGGTTTCCATTAACTTCTATAATGTAACACAAAGTCTAAATCCAAATTTGATCCTCCCTATTTACATTATATACAGTATATGTACCGATTTTCCTTTGATGCCAATTATAATACATTTATGTCTCTCAGAACAGGTCATCGCCGATACTTATTTGTTATTTTATAAGTTGGTCATATATTTCCCCCGTCAGTTACCTCACCCAATGGTCACACTCACTAGAGGTAGTCATGCAGAGGGAAGGAGGCCAGTGGCAGGTCCTTCCATTGTTCTCAATAGTTTTGTCTTGTGTTCTGAAGTGAGTCTTGCTATTAGTTCACGGCGGATGTTTGTTTATTTACAATGATTATATCGTGTTTTGGCTGATGCAACACATGGACTGTAACGGCTGTACGTCTACTTTAAGATCTCTTAGTTAATAAACGGTAATTGTCACTATTTATTTATTGATTTAATTAATCATTTCTCCACTTATAAGCTACAGGCTGTTCGGGCGGCTGGTTCTTTGTTTGTTATGAACTTTTATTTGTCCAGTATTAGTACATGAGAAAACCGGAGTGCCTGGAGGAAGCCTATGAGGGCCACTCTGGTGAACACCCTGTATTAGCCCCTTAGTCTTTATATAAATGTTACGGCGGTACATTATGTTTATATAATCATATCAACCCCTGTTACTTTCCACTGGCTATGAGGTGACATGATTACATCACGTGTTGGATCGGTTCCTTGAGGCGCGGCTCAGAGACTGTTAAGGTTAGCGTTTAAAAGCCGGCTGCCTGCGGCATTGTCACTCAACCCCTCACACCATCCGGACGTATTTAGCAGAGCTCTTTAACATAGCCTCCGTCCTCCTCTTAACACCCGTAGCTACAGTGATAAGTTACGGTGATATACACTGGGAACTGTATCTGAGATAGTTCCTCAATAAATTGATAACAGACAATTGGGTTTCGCTCCTAAAACCCTATATAATATACGTGTTCCAGCCTCATTAACCCAGACGGAATCAACGGTTAAAGGACCTAGACCAGTGGTTCTCAACCTTGTTTGCCCCATGCACCCCTTTCACCATATGTCAGAATGTCATTCCCCCCTCCTTTCCAAGATTGTCTGCCTCAAAAAGTGCATTCCAAATAATATGCATATAATACTGAAAATCCTTTATTTTTTCCATATTAGTAGATATACATTTACAATTTTACATGGATTATTTTTATAGTGGAGTTTTACAAATTAAATGCCAATTGAAAATGTTGATGGATTTATAAAACTTGAATAAAAGTAAAATAGTTTTTTTTATTTATAATGAATTACTTAACAGACCAAACTGAAGCATAATGCAATAAACAAAAAGTTCAATAGAATACCAGGATATTGTAAATTTGTAATTAATTTTATTCAGATGAAGATTACAGTCAATGAGAAACCTGTGATTGTTTTTTCTTCGCCAATTCTGGGATACGCGGAGGAGTGCTTGAAAGGGCACAACGTAGGTCATTTTCTACCTCTAATCTACTACGTTGCTTCGTTTTAATTTGCAACAGAGTTGAAAAGCCTGACTCACAAAGATATGTCGACACAAACGGAAGCATGCACGGATAGCTCTTTCTGCCACTTTTGGGTAGGAATCGCACATCAAGGCCAAAATTCTGTGATTGATTTCTCATCGAACATATCTCTTGCTCCCGAATCAGTTTCCCCCCCCCCTGAAAACCTGAATTCCTCCCTGGTTGAGAACCCCTTAACTAGAACAACCCTTCTCACGTGTGTCCGGGCCAAGCCGGACTCCAACGGGCCAAGCAGGACTCCAACCCACGACATTGGCGGGATACTGATATTGCCATTAATCAGTTGTATATAGTATATACAACCTTACAGCCATTGGTGGAATCTAAACTTTTCGACAAGGGCAGTCAAGATCGGGGCCACACAACCAAAACAATGAGACAATTGGTTATTCAGGAATATTGCAACCTAATCGGTAATACTGTATTAAGAAAAAAAAATTCCCTGAACAAAATTAGTGTATCCTGCTTTTCACTCTGTGTTATCCTTTTAATGTTCAGAACCAGGAAGATAATTTGTAATCAGCTGGTACTGTAAACCAGCACCGCCAGCCACACAACAAGGAAGCAGGTTGCCAAACACCTTCAGAGTATTGCGGTGGTGTGATGCAAGAAATGATTCAAGGTCTTGGCCAGTGTGAAGGTCCCAGGGAGTGTTGGGCGAGTCATAAATACATGCATGAGAAGCACCAGTGTAATGTTTGGGTCTTAAATCACAAGGGCAGTCATACCTGCGTCTCAGGAGGTTACAGTAAGTAGTCATACTGAAAATAAATAACAATAGTACGTCTAACAGTAATAGTGGTCATAATAGTATTCTAGTCTGTCCACTCTCGTGTCTATTCGCAAGTGTTTAAATACAAAAAAAATTCTTCCATCCATAAAAATACCCTAATGACCTCAAGACTTGATTAAATATTTCAATTATTTTCTTTCGTCTGAATCGACAATACAACTTCCTTCCTCAAAATATTATTTCAAGACAAACAATCGGGCATTGCCAACAAATTATAAGTTTTTAGCTTTTATTAATAAACAAAATGTAAATACATATATACAGAAATAAATAATTCGTTAAATATGTCTGTTCAGGACATTTAGTCTCTCGGCCTGCCATAAATAAGGTGGGCGGACCCATCAACCTGTGCTCTTGTATGGTCTTGCCGGCCACGCTTCACCAAGACCTTGATGCCTTGGGATCACTGTGGCAGAGTTCTGGTCTTCGAAATTTATCCTACGATGCCCTGGCCCTAAAGGGTGACTATGGCAAAACACCAATGGTCCCCAAATACTTCCTGTGGCATCCCATCTATACAGGGTGGCAAAATATCAAGGGATCCTAAAGTGTTCCCTGCAATACTTCGACATTTTTTTTTATTATTACTAAATGATAACTCTAGGATGAGTATAGAATTGAAATCTATTATGTTACTCCCCAGAAGTACTTCACTGTACCTCAAAACTAATGGTACCCCAGCAGTGCTAACAAAAATATCAAGGATACTAAACCATACCCTGTGTTACCCCGGCAATACAGAAGTGATGTTTATTTTGCTAACCCACCACTCCTCTGCATCGCCTCCTTAATATAAAATTACATACATTTTGGTACCACTTACAAAAACATTACAGCCAAGGCACAAAACTAAAAACATAAATTCATCCTCCGAAAAGAAATCACACGGCAATCATACAAGATATATAACATGGTGTATTGAAGCGATTTTGTCTTCATCAACAGCACAGCATAGGTCGGTCTGCTGCAGCTGAATTGCTGGACAGAATCCAACACATCTCAAAGTTGGGGACATCAGGCAACAGATGGTTCCTGATCTGTATAAAATGACCTTCCAGTCGTGGCCAGAGAACTCCGAGCCGTGATCAGCAGTGGGTGGCGGTGCTGGTGACTACCGAGGCACCGCTGCTGGGTCTACGAGGAGTCTGTAAGAACATACACCTTTATTAAGCCTTTTATTTTGCTTTTACGTGGGTAAACGAGTAAATATAACCACAAACATGCAAACAATTACTTAACAAATATACAATGACTATATATATACACACACACACACACTATCATAATCAAAGTTTTATGGACATTTTCCCAGTTTGTTACGAGTTACTGCGAATACCTGAAGGCAGTTGTTGGGTAAAACTCCATCACCACCACAAACCCAAGGGACCAGCCCAGAAAATGCAGCAGAGACCAGCCCAGAAAATGCAGCAGAGACCAGCCAAGATTTTTATTATGCTTAAAATGCACACAAGTCCTTCCTTACCACTTTAATACAATTCGTAATGTTATGAACAAATGTCAACAGGAAGGGCAAAAACGGGGTCAAAAGGGAGGGTAAACAAGAAGTGACAACAAGGAGGGTCAGCAGGAAATGTCAAAAGGGAGGGTAAACAAGAAGTGACAACAAGGAGGGTCAGCAGGAAATGTCAAAAGGGAGGGTAAACAAGAAGTGACTACAAGGAGGGTCAGCAGGAAATGTCAAAAGGGAGGGTAAACAAGAAGTGACAACAAGGAGGGTCAGCAGGAAATGTCAACATGAATATTAAGAGACTGGACCACCTAGAAAATAGTATGAACAAGAATTGAACACCTGGACATCAGATGGTATGAACATTAAACGGGACCACCTAGGCAACAGGTGGAATCAGCAGGGGTACCACCTGAGCAACAAAGAGCCATATAACCAACAAGAGGAAGAGAACCATCTGGGGAAACAGTAAAAGCCCATCTCAAACAAAACAGAACCAGTTGGGATCAAGTACATACCATTCAGCGGCCGTAGACAGTGTGTGCCACCTGGTGAAGCCATTCTCCAGGGTACTTGCTAATATGGCCGTCACTCCAGTCCACGACAACACCGAACACATTACTCTGAAGAGACATATTAAGGTTAGATGTTTGTCTTAGGGTAAACATTTGGTCGAAAAAGTTGTGTACATGTTAATACTACAGCGAGTTCATAATATTACAAAAGTACAGTACATGTGATATAAGTTTTGGTTCAGAAAAGATATGTAAATGCAATTTTCTTTAATAATCATTCAATTGTCAGATTTTGTGAGGTTAAACAGTATTGTCAGGTGCTTAAATGTTAAATAAAGACGATGGTTCCTACCTGAATGATCTCGGGATGGGCACCCAACTCGAATTCTGTGTTGACGGGCTGGGTCAGACTAGTGCAGGAAGAGCACTTGTGACACTGGCAGTTGTCCCTCAGCCAGGAGTAAGGAATCTCGCTCCTCCTACCGTCACAGAAGGTGATCTGAAGGGCGTCACTCCCAGTTGAAGCAGAAATGACCCCACTGCCTATAAGAAACGAGTGATTAATTAGCTTCTATACACATATACCACATATACACAAAACAAAAGTACTTCACTATACTGTATATGTTTTATATATATATGTATGTATAAAATAACTAAAAGGAAAGTATATTTACCAGGGCGAGGAGCTTCAGCACTGGCCAGCTGTTGACGAGCAGCTGTGGCGAGGGTCAGACTGCGGCTATGAGCACAACGGTGGGTGTTTCGCTGTCCCTGTAACACAAACATATACAAAGGGTCAGAAGTGTTCCAGTAATACACAGGACATAATTCACACGCCAACAATCTTCTCTTGGATCACTGTAGTATCTTTGAAGTTCTGTTTATCAAGTCCCATCGTGTATATCCATTTACAATTCTAACTATAATTTTCTAATGCCATTTACTTTCAATTTTATTTTAAAATGTCAATAATTCCTCCCCGCTTGTTACTTTTTGCGTGCTTTTAATAATCTTCAATAATTCAATTTAAATTTGCAAATCAATAATCAAAATAGTGTACTGTAAGTCTATAATTATATCAGTGAAATTTAAATACAATATTATTACGGTCTTGAAGTGTCTGGAGTGAGAAAACTCCCTTATGGCGATTTTTGTTCAACTATACAAATTATTCATTAATACAACTAAGGCAAATAAACATCTGGAGCACTAAGGCAAATAACGAACATCTGGACCACTAAGGTAAATAACGAACACCTGGAGCACTAAGGTAAATAACGAACATCTGGAGCACTAAGGTAATTAACGAACATCTGGAGCACTAAGGTAATTAACGAACATCTGGAGCACAAACAATTCACAAACCACTTGGTCATTTAACTAATGGTGTTGTCGAAATAAACTGTCCACCATCAGGTTTTTAATTGTTAGTGAACTGTTTGTGGCACACTGTAGAGTCACCAGAGAAACAAAAGTACATTTGGTTAATTACTATAACAAGGACATAAACTTACCTCTTGCTTAGCACTACACGGTTTATTGTGCAAAATTTCACAAACATGAGCCAATCATCGTAGAGCACGGATACCATCATTATACCAAGTAACCATTTACGTTTATAACACATCCACGCCAGTCATAAACACTATGAATACAATGAACATATGGTAGCATACTGTAGTCACCATAGCAATATCTATGTCAGCCAAGAATACCACAAACTCACTGTAATAACTTTGTAAGACTGGTCAGAAATATGAACAGGGTGACTTTCTTTTAAACGTGAATCCAAGAACTTTCGACCCTCTATACCAACACCTTCCATAAACCCAGCAGACACACTATGGATATTTGCACTAAACTTATACTAACCTCGTCCTACCAGAAACAATTTATCTCTCTAGTCTTAGGATCTACTTATATATAAAAAATCAGGATTCCACGAAAAAATAATAAAATATAACTCAAAATCAATTAACTTTTAGAAAACAAAAACTATTTCTAACTTCCATCTCAATACAGGTTACACTGAACCAACTTTGCACGACACCATTTCTAACAAGACATTTGACACTGCTCGTATAAGTCGTTTACTCTCCATTAACAAAGCGATGAAACCTGACCTTTTGTACCGCCACAAACACAAACTACCAAGAGCACACACACATGAAGGTAATGGCGCAGGAGGCAGTTATATACAGTACAAATATATACAAAAATACACACGGAACAACGCACACAAAAACTACCAACAAATGTGTAATAAAAACCAAAGTATAACAATGACAATAACTAAGTTTTTTCAGCGTAATAGCCCAGATTCTCACAAACTTTGAAAATTAAGGCATTCACCATGTGCAAAAACTGACTGCAGGATTATGTGCCTGACAGTAGAGCGGGTTGCCCCCCTTCACTCAATCAATGCACTTTTCTCTCACTCACAGGTATTATAAACTGCCTCAATACACACCTGGTATACTGCAGTGTTCCTCAGAGCAGCTGCCCCGGAGAGCAAAGCGCGGGCATAACGTTGTGAAGACATTGTTTCACTAGTACAGATTCACTGGTGTACTCAAACAGATGTGTGGAATAGTGTAACAGCCGGCCTCCAGTATATATACCCGAGTTACCGCTGCTTGCCACATCCTACACATAATTTCAGATATTAGTGATCAAAACAGTTATGTTAACGATACAAGGGAGTAGTTTAGTGCTGTTGTTTTTCAAATTATAAACAAAAGTAGTTGTATAAAATATTAAAATAACTTTCTGAAGTGCATGGTAATAATATCATATATGAAATAGTTATAAATATGGGAAAAATATCAAGTAACCCAGTAAACCGATAAGAAAAATTCCATTAACAACTGAGACTTGTGGTAGTATCTGGTAAGATTTGTTGCCTATGAGCCATCAAGGATCCTCATCACAACAAAGATGCGGTCAATCGTCTTCATGTGGCTTAACACACTTTTTAGAACACATCCTTAATATGTATCTATAACTTCACAATAACCGAGGCAAGAGTAGGGGCGTCAGCCTCTATATCAGACCCAAGTTACCAGGTGACGCCGAACACTGATGTCAGATATCAGAATGGAGTGAATACTTTCCAAAAAGTATCGCAAGTGTTTCCTGGAAAAGTTGGATTTTAAGATATATTACAGCATTTCTTGGTATTTTAAAGTGTGTGCTGTGTTTTTTAGATGCTATTTCTCTGTTATATTTAATGAACTCGGGCAGGAAGTCATGCTGTATTGTGATAAGGGAAGCTACGGGAATGGTAAGAGACGCTCCCAACACAGTGAACGCCCTGACCCAAGTCACGTAGACACAAATCTAAACTTTAAAACTGCTAAACGAGAGATACAAACTATATTTAACATCTGTCGATTTACGCAGTTGTTAGAAATACGTCCTAGTGCTGTAAGACGCAAAAAACAGCACGTCTGAGGTCACAAGCAGCTAGTTTTAGAAGAATAGACAACAGATACCACTCATAAGAGGAATTTTATATCCAGGACGAACAGTGACGCTGCTGTGTGTGTGTACTGGAGTGTCAGTCGTCGGGTACCGTAACAACTGTAATCCATACTTGGTTGTCCTTCGAAAATCTATATACATCAGAGTATTCTGTGAACTTCCTACGGTACCCTGGAATAAAAAAAAAGAATAAAGTAGAGCTTGTTGAAAATGGACGAACATTCTAGTTGGATAAATATCTTTGTTTTTGTTCTCTATGTAGGCCATTCATGTAAATCCTCCTTGAGACTAAGATAAATTACCGCAAGTTAAACCATTGTTACTCAACTATGTTTTTTGTTTCTCCTGGACGGAGGTTTTACATATTTAATGGCAGATATAATTACAATTGGTTTGATAGATATATAAATATGTATACAGTAAAGTCTCTAAACAAGTTCACATTGTAGTTCACATGTACTGTGCAGTCGGGGTCAAAATCCGTTCCCTTCTAAAATGAAGCAGCGTCGACCCCAACCGAGACAAAACGGCACAACCGCACACAGGTTACGTAAGTAAGTTCGGAGACCCATTCAGTTTCACTAAGAGGAGCGAACTTTTGTCCGCCTCTATACTAGTAACAGTGTTGTATCTGGTAATTTTTATTTGTTGATGGTTTAGTCTAACAAATAAACTAGTTGTACACTTAAATACCTTAGAATATAAAATCACACTGCAGGTATACACACAATGTACATAGACACTGCAGGTATACACACACTGTACATTATACACTGATCAGTAAGTGATGGAGGAAATAATGTTAATGGTGAATACTCAGTGTGCAGATAATATTGTATACAATGAGGAGGCATTACAAAAACTGGTCAACCGAACAGTGAAAAACATGATGAAGAATATAGTTAATACTACACAGACGTAAGTAACATTTATTTCTATAATGAAAAGAAATGCAAAGAAATTATGGTTCGCAACAGTGAATTTAAACAAGTTAAAAGTTTTACGTATTAAAAAAATAACATACGTTGTGATGGTAGATATGAAAGAGACAATAAAATGAGAATTTACCAAATAAAAACAGCAATCAATAAGTAATAAGATGTGGTGAAATATTACGTACGGTTAGTTTCAGCAGACACCAGGAGGTCTGAGCCCCTTGATAAACAATTAAAGATGTACTAAAACTGACTAACAAAGAGTAACAGACGATACTTAACCATCCAATTAATGAGAGGATAAGCGTAGAGATATTACTGGGTAAAACTGTGGGTAGGAAAGCCAAGGGAAGAGACTGGGGTTAGATGAATGAAAATAGAAGACGTGTCCTTGGAAACATGTTTGGTCGCCAGTCCTCAGATATGGTGATGGCGTAAAGATTAATCGTATATACTGTGAGCTCTACCAACACTCATATTGTATTATAACGTGGCAGGTGTACTAGATTCGTGGCGTTGACATACTGAACTGCATACTTTCAAACCTAATATATACTCACGCACACACACACAACACCCGTACATACACAATATACGTACACACATAATATAAGCTCGTACACAACACATGTGTGTGTGTGTGTGTGTGTGTGTTCCTCCACGCACTACAGGATCTTGAGAAACATATTTAAGAAGGTTAATTTGTGAACCAGTTTCTCACCACTGCCTTTGAGTACAATGGTTAAGGTCTTCCTGTTGGTGAAGCAAATGTCCCTTCAGGTCGCCAGGATGTTGGGCTGGTACCTGGAGTGACTTAGATCATCTACCCCTAAGTTTTTCCCAGAGTTGGAATGTCTGTATGAGTGGGTTTGTGAGTGGAGGAGTGAGTGAGTGGGGGAGTGGGTGTGTGAGTGAGTGGATGTGTGTGTGTGTGTGTGTAGATCATAACCAAAGGTGTTTGTGACTCATCCTTTGTTATAAATATAACAAAAGCTTTTGTTACTAGATGTTACAGTCTTACCTCCTGTCTGTGTGTGTACTGTATGTGTGTGTGTGTGTACAAGTACCTTATCTGGAAGTACTTGTGGGGCTTTAGTAAACTTTGTCATCCGGACTTTTACGATTAAACAATGTGTGACACTGGCAGTAAATGAACTCAGCAGAACTGTAATAAATATACACACAATAACTGAACGCTCTATCGAAAGTCAAGGTAGAAAGGAATTAAAGTTAACACACAGTGAAACTATCTGTACTTGTATACTTAATAGCTTAAACAGATTTTTATTCAGATACAGTATATTCGAGCCATTACAGACTTGAGTACAGGGTCAACACGTCAATAACCTCGTTACCATGTTGGATATCCTGTACCTCTACTGTATTCAGGAGCAGTATGGAACTGGTGTTTCGTACCATAACATAATTATGTAACAAAATACATAATCATTAAAAACTGCCTCACCACACAGCGTGAATTATACAAACAACAGACAAACTAAGTAAAACAATATGATTACTGGGCTGAGATTACTTAGTTGTGTCAGCCCATTGTATCTAACATGCAATGGTAAACCAACGATTTACAGATCTGAATTTATAAGTTCACTTTGCCGCTCTCGTATTGATGCCGATAATGTTATTTATACAAAAGAATGAAGATCTATACTCAAACATAGGCCTGACGTCCTTGTCAAAAATTGCAAGTAGAAAGTCTAGGGCTCTAGGCGGTGGAATATGAGCCAAGTCTCTCCTAGGAATAAAAGAGCGAGGGACGGCGCCGTCCTCCTTGTGGATGCCACTACGTAGGACACACCGCACCAGCCGGCCTCGACCCAATGTTTTCTCCCAGCATAAACGAAGCGACTGTCAACAAGAGTGTTACCTTCAGTGGATCTGTGACTTGTCAAACTTAAGGTTCTGGGATAATTTAAAGGAGTTTTATACAGGTTTTATGATTTTTGTCTCGTTCATTATGCTGGTAGGTAACATTCTATTCCTCTATTTCTATCTGTCTGTCTTTGTCTCGACTTCCAACTCGGTTTTCCTCCTCCCTCTCTCTCTCTCTCTCTCTCTCTCTCTCCGCATATTAAGCTCAGCTAACGCGCACATCAACTATACTATCCTCAGTGTGTGTGTGTGTGTTAAACATTCACCTTCACTGGTACAGTAAAGTCCATCCTGGGAAACTAAGCAATAGGCAGATCACGCCACGCACCTCCCTCGGTCACGTGGTGCGCTGCTGCCTGTTTACAACCTCAGCTGACGGCTGCAGCCCTCACATGGCCAGGCGTCAGATATTCTCACAAGGAACTATGTTATAAAAGAACATGTCTAGTTATGGTAAACATTTCCTGAATGTCAAGATGCAATTACAGGCAAGGGTTTTGTGTTGCAAGTTAATTAAGTCACTTATTATCGGAATTAGGTACATTATTATTCTGAAATGTTACAGGTACAAAATATGGTACAGGTACAGTAATCTCACTATGTTACTACCGTCATAACCTCAGCAGAAGCACAGAGTTAGTGCAGGTGTTGTGTAGTAATTCCTAAGAGTTAACAAGATCATGAAGGTGGTATCTTAACCTAGATATGCAGAGACATTTATTGAATTACTTAACCTAAACTGTAACTTAAGGTCAGGTCAGGTGTCATTGAGGCAGGTAACTTCATATCTTCGTAGTAAAGTGACCAAACTATATACGTGTTTCACCTCTTAATAGGATATAAACCTCGTCAAACACCGTATGTAAATTACCTTGCCTGGACCAATAGGTAAATCAAGCAGGTCAAATATATTTATAATTCTAATGATTGCGTAATAGGTGGATGCGTGTACCTGGACAAACAACTTATTTTTGTTTGCCCGCGTCTTTTTCTGTCTTGTTTATCTTTTGCAAATGAATAATACCACCTACTGAGATTTACCCGTACACAGGCGGCTTCTACCATGTGTGTGTCAAGCCATGAACCGGCTCAATCCAGTAAGAACGTAAGCGTGTAGGAGAGAGTGGGGTGGGTGAGATGTGGGGTGAGATGTGGGGTGGGGGATAGAGATCTCGACAGATAGCGTGTTACCATGTAAGGATTTAATAAGTGTTTTTTTTCTCTCTCTCTGTTTCCCTTTATTCCTTCTTCCAATCCATCTTCCACTACTTCGCCTTCAACCTTCTCTACGTTTTTTCCCTTTCCCTTTTTATCTATCT